TATCTTTCTATAATTATTTGTGGACTTAAACATATAATTATTTGTGCTCAAATCTTCATTCCACATACATCTTTCTGTACAGATGTATCCTTCTGTACAGCTGTATCTTTCTGTACAGATGTATCCTTCTGTACAGATGTATCCCTCTGTACATTAGTTTATATCTGTACAGTCATTCTTCTGTACAGTCATTCTTCTGTACAGTACCAACTGACTAATTCTCCAATTTTGAATAGTAAATATTACTACATTACAAACATTAATGAGCATTGGTCTATATCTGTACAGTGGTCTATATATGTATTTGTACAGTGGTCTTCTGTACAATGGTTTATATCTGTACAGTGGTTTATATCTGTACAGTCATTCTTATGTACAGTGGTCTTCTGTACAGTGGTATATATCTGTACAGTGGTCTATATCTGTACAATGGTTTATATCTGTATATATATTATTTGTACAGTGTTCAGTAATATAGATTTTAAAAATTATAAAACAAAATGCATATCAAATGATAGAGAAAAAAACATAGATTTTTATGTATATGATCAATTTTTGAAAAATAAAATTTACGAACGAGCATTTTAATTATTAAACTTTGAGGGAATGAAATATAATAAAGAAAGAAAAAAAAATTTAAAAAAAAAAACCCTGACCCACACTCTCTCTCTCACACCCACACTCTTATACGTCTCACACTCACACTCTTATACGTCTCACACTCTCTCACCAAATTATAAATAGTAACGGTACTAGTTCTACAATTAAGTTTGGAAAAGGTACTAGTTTCCCAACAAACCCTTATATTCAAGGAAATTGAAACGAAAAACATATTACTTTCGAACGAGTATGTAATGTTTTGGATGAGTAGGATCGTTGAATTTTTTTTGAGATTGTGTTTTTACAAAGTTGTATTTGCTGGTGCACTTGAATTCTAATATACAGTACAAACTGACTAATTCTCCAATTTTGAATAGTAAATATTACTACATTACAAACATTAACGAGCATTGGTTTATATCTGTACAGTGGTCTATATCTGTACATTGGTCTATATCTGTACAGTGGTCTATATATGTATCTGTACAGTGGTATTCTGTACAGTGGTATTCTGTACAGTGGTATTCTGTACAGTGGTATATATCTGTACAGTGGTCTATATCTGTTCAGTGGTCTATATCTGTACAGTGGTCTATATCTGTACAGTTGTCCATATCTGTACAGTGGTCTATATCTGTACAGTGGTCTATAATATCTGTACAGTGGTCTATATCTGCACAGTGGTCTATATCTGTACAGTGGTATATATCTGTACAGTGGTCTATATCTGTGCAATTGTTTATATCCGTACATACATTATTTTGTACAGTGGTCTATAATATAAAATTTAAAAGTCATCAAACAAAATGCATATCAAATGATAGAGAAAAAACATAGATTTTTATGTAAATGATAAATTTTAGAAAAAAAAATCACTAGTTATTTGTGCTCAAATCTTTATTCCACATTCATCTTTCTGTACAGGTATATATTTGTACAGATGCATCCTTCTGTACAGTGTTTTATCTGTACAGTCATTCTTCTGTACAATGTTATATATCTGTACAGTGCTCTATATCTGTACAGTGGTCTGTCATCTGTACAGTGGTTTATATCTGTACAATCATCCTTCTGTACAGTGATTTATATCTGTACAGTCATTCTTCTGTACAGTGGTCTATATCTGTACAGTCATCCTTTCTATATAGTAGTCTATAATATAAATTTTTAAAAAATTATTAAATAAAATGCATATCAAATGATAGAGAAAAAAATATAGATTTTTATGTATTTGATAAATTTTAGAAACAAAAAATTCACTAACGAGCATCTTAATTATGAGACTTTAGGGGAATATGAGATAATAAAGAAAAGAAAAGAAATTAAAAAAAAAAAACATGACCCACGTTTCTCTTTCTCACAAATACAAAGCCCCTAGTAGTAATTTCCACTCTCTTACACTCTACCCCACTTTCTCTCATATCTCACACAAATTCTATTACACAAACACTAGTAATTGACTGTTTATCTAATTATAAATAGTACTCGTACTACTTTCCCAATTATTACTCACAAACGTACTATATTGCCAACAAACCCTAATATATATTATACACGTCATTTGTTTTAGGGTTAGGATAAGCATGACATGTTCAGAAATTTGTCTAATATGACAACTATATATACATGTATAAATGGATCAACATGTCTTTGTAGAATTCCCTGTAGATTTGTGATCTGAATCTCATATCCGACTCTTGGTTAGAAAATTTCTATTTCATGGTAAAAGATCAGAAATCCTTAATTATATATCCTACTTTTATCTCGTTAGCATACAACATATTTTTCATTACAAAAGCATTATATTGATCATATCCCCTATATATTAATAGAGAAACATTTTAAAAAAAAAAACTTACCATCATGTGTTATTAACAAGATTGCCACGCTGATGTGTCGCTCTCACAATGATTTGGCTTTTTTTTAAATAATTACCCAAGATTTATTAGACTATTTACAGAATTTGCCATTAATCTCATACATCCATATATCCCATTAATAATTAAAAACATACATTTATCTTATATTACTATATTTTTATATTTATATTTTTCTTTATATACATTTATATAAATTTTCTTTAGCGGATGGGTAAACAATCTTTTTATTTATATTTATATTTATGTTTATATTTAAATAATAAAATATATACATTTGGTTCAAGAATCTCGAATTCAAAACTACAAAATCTTTACATCTTTCATAAATTTTTTACTTAAATAAATAAGATAATCTCCTTTCTATATATGTTACGAATACTTAAAATCCTATTTTTTGGAGGAGTTCTAACTTTGAAAAACATTATAACCACATTTGTATATAAACCAAAATCTGGCCACATTATAACCATTTCGTAAATAATCCATTCATAATCTAAGAATCTTAGATTTGGAACACTACAAAATCTTAGCTTGGAAACTATCAAATCTCATCTTTGCTAAATTTTGGATTTCTTATACTTATTAAAAAAAAAAAATCTTTTTATACTACAAAATCTCGAAATCTTTAAAACATACGGAAAGACATATTGCCATAAATGGTAACATTTCGTCAATACTTTTTTATCACGTTGAAGGTTTATTCAAGGTTCAAATATTTCACGGGTAAAACATATTCTTATATGAAATAGTTCCAAATTTGAATAAAACAAAAAAAAAATTGTAACATGTTTCGTTTTACACAAACGGATATTGGATCCCGGATAATAATTTTAATCATAATAATTTTACTTGAATCACTTCATCCCGCACATCGTGCGGGTTGTTATCTAGTTTCTAAATATGACGTAAAACATCATCTTATTTAATTTCTGCTGTGTTATTTTCATTTAAGTCTTCTAGCTATTTTTTTCCGACAAAATTTTGTAGTCAGAATGCTGATTTGAATGTCAGAAAAATCCTTTAAAATATACCATTTCAATGTTCTATAATATTGACGTATTTGTTGATTAATGTATTAGACATTTGCTTTTTAATATCTAACCAAATGCACCGAATAACTTTATCAAACAAATGCAAAAAAAATAATTTTATTACTTAAAATGACCCTGATAAGTACCTAACGACTAGATATGCATGCAACATACTATATATAGTGGAGAATATCAAATACGATCAAATTCGAATCGTGAAATTGTATTAATTTTTCTTCTTTCGCAATAATAGGCCGATTCTCATAAATAAAGTCAAAAGGACAAAAAATATATCATTACATTATTCAATGGAATTTGTATTCTGCGTAGATGTGACGCGCCTGGTTGTGGAACAAAGCTCGTAGCTAGTGAAATAAATTTTTTGAATAGCTATTGCTTACCTAAAGTCTTAAAATTAAGATAAAACGTTTGATTTGATCCAATTATTAATTTATCCGAGTTAATTAAAGCGATCTAATTATATGTCATTTCCTATAACGTCTCAGTTTGAATGTAGTGGATTTTTTATAATAGGAGGAAGATGTCAGAAGTCCAAAACTAATCTCAAAATTTGGCCTAATAACGCTGATAGTTTATCAAATTGATTTTTTTTTCACCCTTTTTTTTAACAAAAATTTAGACTTATTTTTAGATTTATAAAATAATGTAAACATCATCTTGAAACTGTTAAACATACTTATTTAACATGAAATTCACAATTTGTAACCTAGTGATTTGTATTAGTGTGTTGATATGTATATTTGTACCATGTATAAATTATTTACAAAATATATTCTGTGGTGTTGAATTATTGAAAATAAAATATAACTTACAAGAAATTTTTCGCCCAACGGAAATCAAAATTTAATTTTGATCAAGAGATCTATAGAACTAAGTTACCATACTTGATTACACTTATCTTTCCTGTGATTTTTCATGCATTTTATGTTATTATTGTTTGTCAACCAAAAAACCTTGAGATATACTAATAATTATTCAAATTGTAAAAGATTCTTTGCAAAGTAACTTTTCATTTCTTTTCAGCAAAATAATCTTAAATGGATGGTTTTTTCGCATTCCATTAGTCTAGTTTGGTTCCACAAGATGTTTTCTATTTCTGGAGTAAAATATATTCTGGTGAAATCTATGTGAAAAAAAGCCAGAGAATATTCACTTGGAATAAAACATTCTTCATTCAAAGTTTAGAGACATATATAAATGTTTAAAGAAAAAAGAATAAATATGAGATTTATCTTATAGGCCTTTTAAGTCTGAACCGTACAATCCCCAAAAAAATTAAAACCAGAGCTTGTGGGGGCCAAAACTGGAAAAAAAAAATACTTTTGAAATTTTTACAAAATGTTTTTAAAAACAAAAAATAAAAAACAGATCGGAAAAAAAAAAGTTGGGCAAAAAAGAAGACTCTTGGAGACTGAGAGGACTTAGCGTGCATGGGAACATTTATACAAAGCCGAAATTCTCCGAATTGAAGAAGAGCTTCTCTATCAACTACGAAGAAGACGACTAATAATATTCCTTTGCTCAATCTAGGGTTTACTTCTTCTTCTCCAGTTTTCAAGGAGATTTTAAGCTCCATCTCGGTGAGTCTTCTTCTTCTACGAATCGACGCTATTATTTGATTGTTTTTGTTTTGAATTTTGCTGTCGGTTTCTCGAAATCTATTTTATTGTAGCTCGTGAAGTCATTTTCTGGGATTTGAACTCGAGATTTCTCAGTTTCCTGCTGAGAATTCATTGATTTGTTCCCTTTGTCTAATTACTTGTTAATTAAATTGGATTTGAGGCTAATATATAAGCTATTTCATTAGTCTTGTTATAATTCGCTTAGTTGGTGTTGGGTGACTTGCATTATGCTCATAATTTTGGTATTTAGTGGTCAATGTTTGGATTTTTCATGTTTGAATCCACTGATTAGCTGTATTGTTTTTTGGTATCAATTAGCTGTATTGTTTGACCTTAATTTTGGTTTAATCTTGATTTTGAGCTTCTTCTTTTTTTTTATCCAGTGACAGGGATGGACCATTGGTGAATTTTGAGGTCCAGGAGAATCTGTCATTTTCAACACATTGTGTGGAATCATCTGAAGAAGTTTGGTAAACAGAAGGAACAAGGATCTATGAAGATCCTCTTGGATTGGTGTATCTCTAATGTGATTGAATGATCTCAATTGTTTAAATCATGTGCTCAGATGATGGATTGAACCTGGTAAGGTATCAAATGTAAGGTTGAAATCACCAGATCCTTGTCAAGATGGAAACAAGGTGTGTTATTATTCTTTGTCAAGAGATGTTCCTGCATTTTACTTTCTTCTTGTTTTTCAATTTCTTAGATCTGGAATGTACTTTTGTTTTTCTTCAGGCCTGTAGAGAGAGAATTCTCTAATGGTGATGTTTATTCTGGTCAACTTAAAAGAACCCTTCCTCATGGGAAGGGAAAGTATGCATGGCCTGATGGAATCGTTTACGAGGGTGATTGGGAAGAAGGGAAAATATCTGGGAGAGGAAAGCTTATGTGGTCATCTGGAGCTAAATATGAGGGGGATTTCTCCGGGGGATATCTTCATGGCTTTGGCACATTGACTTTGCCTGATGGATCTGTCTACGCTGGAGCATGGAGAATGAATGTACGGCACGGTCTTGGAAGGAAAGAGTATTGTAACTCAGATGTATATGATGGCTCATGGAGAGAAGGATTACAAGATGGCAGTGGTAGTTATTCTTGGTACAATGGAAATAGGTTCATTGGTAACTGGAAAAAGGGTAAAATGTCTGGCAGAGGGGTTATGAGCTGGGCAAATGGTGATCTCTTTAACGGGTTTTGGTTGAATGGTCTTAGACATGGATCTGGAGTTTATAAGTATGCCGATGGCGGTTTTTATTTTGGAACCTGGTCACGTGGCCTAAAAGATGGGAGTGGAGTCTTTTATCCTGCTGGAAGCAAACACCCTTCTCTAAAGAAGTGGCATCGGCATTTTGGTTACGATGACACCGGAAATTTCCTCCTTTCTCATAATTCAACAACAAATATTGATGATTTACGGACTTCAAAAGCTGTATCACGAAGTCTTTCTGAGTTAACCACAACAAGTGGACTGACGAGAACTTCGGAGAGGTATCCTGATGATTATTGGAGCACCAGTGACCCTCCAAGAGACTTTCTGCATCATGGGCCCTCATCCAAGTCTGCACGGTCTGTTGACTCTGGTCAAAGCGAGATACGGGATAAGAACCCTATCGTTTTTGAAAGGGAATACATGCAAGGAGTTTTGATTAAAGAACGAATTATGAGTTCTATCGATATGTCACACAGGGCTAGACCTTTGAATCTTACTAAAGAAGTCACAGTTAGCACTTGTGTGAGCTTTCTAGGGGGGAAATGGAACCATTATCTAATGCTAAATCTCCAACTCGGTATCAGGTAAACAAGTTTGAGACACAAGTCATTTATCTTTGTGGAAGCTTATGAACAACAAATTTTAACAGATCTTAGTTATCAAAATGACAAGAGAGCTTCATTCAGATCACCTCTGATCATGTTCCTCAATTCTCATATGATCTTAAGACTACTCAGTTGTAGACTAAAAACACAGTTATTTTTGCCCACTATGACTTGATTAATGAGTCAGGCCAGAACACAAACAGTCAGACCATGCTTGTACTAGTTATTTCTCTTACACAACAAATCTTTTGAAGTTCACAGGTATACTGTTGGGAAAATCACACCAGTGCCTCCACGGGAAGTTCGTGCTTCTGACTTTAGTGAAAGAGCCAGAATCATGATGTTCTTCCCTAGAAACGGTTCCCAGTATACACCTCCACACAAGTCCATTGATTTTGATTGGAAAGACTATTGTCCTATGGTTTTCAGGTAAACTGTTTTCTTCCGCCATATTCCAAAAAATACTTAAAATCAGTAAAAAATAATAGCTTAAAATCAGTAAAAACCAAGAGTACTCTTTTGTTCATAAACACGTTTTCTTAGTGTATTCAAGAATACCTGATCTTCAAATGATTTACTATGCATTTATTTCAATGGCATGTCATAGGAATTTAAGGGAGATGTTCAAGTTAGATGCTGCAGACTACATGATGTCTATTTGTGGCGATGATGGCCTGAGGGAAATTTCGTCCCCTGGGAAAAGTGGCAGTATCTTCTACCTTTCTCACGACGACAGATTTGTGATAAAGACATTAAAAAGATCTGAGTTGAAGGTTTGACATGACTAAACCAAGCTGTTATCTTTACTTGCTTGTCGTAATGGATTATAGTTATTCGGGGATTTTTGGTTAGTGAGCTGATTCTTGCTCCTGTTGGTTTTTCTTGTTGCATTTTTAGGATGCATGTGACCTACAGATAGTCTAGCCTGTCTTTCCTTGTATGTATTTTTCTTAGTATATCACATAATCTTTAATTTTTTAGGTAGACACATCTCATTGGTCTATGTATATGTATGACGGAGAGCATCTCTTTTTCTTATAGGTTCTACTCAGGATGTTGCCTAGGTACTATGAACATGTAGGAAACTATGAAAATACGCTCATAACGAAATTTTTTGGAGTTCACAGAATAAAACTCAAGTGGGGTAAAAAGGTAAGAACTAGTCTGATCCCTTCTATATATTAATTCCATTATATTTCATTTCTTTTTAGTATGAGCGTTGTGCTTCTCTGACAGGTACGCTTTGTGGTCATGGGGAATATGTTTTGCACAGAATTGAAGATTCATCGCCGCTATGACCTAAAGGGCTCAACTCAAGGAAGATTTACAGCAAAGAATAAAATTGGAGAGAAGACTACCATGAAAGATCTTGATCTAGCTTATGAATTTCAAATGGACAAGCTGCTGCGAGAGGCTCTCTTCAAGTGAGTTCTCTACTCATTTTCTAGTAACCCTTTCGTCCGTGATTCATGTCAGCTGCATGATATTTTAGTCATATTTGCTACGGAACCTGTAGGTTTCTGTGCCAATTTTATTTTCCAGATAAGTCTGCTTGCTGCAACCACTTACTGTTTCTGGAAACATCTCATGATCACATCTCCCCTTTCACAGTTTTATAGCACTACTCTTATTGTCTGTTGAATGTGTGAGGGATGTCTTGTTGAAATTCATGTTTTTATTTCTTTTGGAAATCTTATCTATGTAGTAATTGTATATCTTTTTCAGGTGAGTAAGTTCTCATTGTTGCTTAAACTTATCAAATCCATTTTTGCATGACCTGATTGATAGCCTAGTAAACTAAACTAGTATTTAGAGAACTGAAGCACTTAATAATTTCTCTGTACCTAGACATAAAAGAACCCTTGAAAAGGAATAAAGCAGCAATTTCCTATGATTTTGCAAACGATTTTACGGAAATAATTAAGATGATAGAAAAATGAGCTGCAGTGAATAGGTTATATACCAAATGTCTTATTTTCACTGCTGTCTACACACATACCTTCTGAAACGAGATGTTTGCTTTTCTTTGCCTGGCTATAAGTTTAGTTCTGCTAGTGAAGTTTTTGTTTGATGCTTCTCCTGTGCTTCATTAGCGTTAACTTCCTTGGATTTTTCATTATTTTACATTCTTATGCCATAATTATCCTGATTACGATGCTAAGGACAATGAAATTGCTGTATTTTCTCGCATTTGTGTTTGTCTAATTGTTTGTGGAACCTCTTTGTTTCCTACATGGCAGGCAAATTATTTTAGACTGTTCGTTCTTGGAATCTCTGCAAATCCTTGATTACAGTCTTCTCTTGGGATTACATTTTAGAGCTCCTGATCCACTTACTGATATCCTGGAGCCTCCCAATGAAATGTCAGATCAAGAAAGTGATAGTATTGCTTCTGTTGACGGTAGGCCTCAATTTTTTTAGAGACGATATATCTTTTCAGTTTAGATAGAGAATAGTCATTCACTCGCTTAGATAAATCAGGTGATCAGTTTCTTACTAGACGGTATATGGCATAGTTCTAGAACTAACACATGGAGTCTATGTAAACCAGATTTAAATGTCATGGATTTGTGTCTCTTACTGTTTTTGTTTTGTGTTTCATCAGTCAGTTTGCCTCGTGAACCCGCCATTCCCCCAAAAGGGCTACTAATGGTTACCCACGAACCCAATTCCGTTAATACCGCCCCGGGTCCTCACATCAGAGGTAGCACACTACGAGCATTCTCTGTCGGCGAGCAAGAAGTTGATCTTATTCTACCTGGAACTGCAAGGTTAGTCACTTCCTGGAAAAACCTAACTTGACTCCACAAGATCACAGTCCAATAACCTTATTTCCTGTTCATTAAATTGTCCCCAACCATACTTTTTGGAATCCCATTCAGGCTCCGGGTACAGTTAGGAGTGAACATGCCAGCTCAAGCCCACCACAAACTCCGTCAAGACAAGGAGGAATCAGGAACTGTCGAGCTCTTTGAAATATATGATGTGGTTGTGTACATGGGTATCATTGACATCCTCCAAGAGTACAACATGAAGAAGAAAGTGGAACATACTTGCAAATCTATGAAATATGATCCGATGACAATTTCAGCCATCGAGCCTACACTTTACTCTAAACGATTCATCGATTTCCTCCTTAAGGTATTCCCAGAAAAAGCATAAAGAAAGATCACAACGGAACATTTATCTTCCCTTAAGATGAAATGGTTCATGATTTGACTCGGTCGATAATATTCTTTCCTGTTCATAAGCCATAAAAAGACTCTTGAGGGATTTGGCTCGTAATCTTCTATCGTCCTTATGTACACTAACATTTAGGATCTTATATACTTCAAAAAGTTTTCGTTTATTATTATTATTGAGTAGATTTGTACCACTCTCAATGTGCCTAACAATTTAGCTATTGTGCTAGGTTGGATTGAGGAGTCATATGTACTAACCTTTTCGAAATAAGATTGATATTAGCAGAACAAATTGATAAATTGATACGTTTACAATGATCGATAGTATTGAAGAATTAAAATTACGTGATACGTTTACAATGTATCATGTTTATGCAAATCAAAACTCTGTGCAAATTCTCTATGAATTTTGCTTTTGTATCTCAACCTAATTTTGAAACAGAAATTAATAAAAAGTTTCTTCTATAATTTGGTTTAGTGTAGTAGTCTGAACCAAAAAAGCTGAAACAAAATCCAAAAAATGCACCACTAGATTAGATGATAAAATAAGTTGATCAAAACAAAGGATCAATATCACTAAAAAAATCATCTAAGTGAAGAATATCCTCCTCGTTCTCTAAGAAACTTGCAGAACCAGAAGTTTCGCCTTCAAATTGATTCGTCTTTGTCTCTTCATTGCGAATCTGATGAACTTCCTCCTCCTGGGGAAGAATCTCTAAACCTCCATCTCTTTGAGTGTTCTTCACGGCATCATTTAATCGTAACCTCACATTGTTCAACATCCTCGAAACCCCATCGACCGCATCTTTTAACTCCTCAACGTTCTCCGATACGTCAAAACGTTTGTCTTCCCACCAAAACCCTAACCCTGACCTGTTCTCTTGGGTTGCCGGAAGAGGAGGCTGGTCGTAAAGCAGAGTGGAGACAACGCTATCAACAGAGGAATGACCGAAAGAGTAGAAAGAAGCATGAGAATTGGAAGTCATAGGAGTCGCTAAGATTGCGATTTGAGTGCCGGGAGAGAGGAGACAGAGCTGTGAAGCTTTGCGGAAGAGACCGTCCCTGCGTTTTGTGAAAGCAACCGTTCTTGCGACTTTGTTTTCGATTTTTTTAATCTTGATCTTACGTTTTTTGCCTCCCATATTGAAACTTGCAAGAAAGAAAAACCCTATTGCACAGACAGAGAGACATTGCTTGCAAGCTGCTTCCTCTCTTTATACATTCTTCTTGTGTGTTCCCCATTATTGATCTTATTCCATATTCGGAGATAATTTCCATAATCGGAGATGTTTCTTAATATTACCTTTCTTTAACTATTTTACTAAATAAATAAGGGAAAAATGTCGGAAAAAAACGAATTTTTAAATTTCGGACGAAAAATACATGAACTTTCGAAATGTCATACAATCCTTAATCCTAAAATTTATACAATCTATTGATAAAAAAAATTATATAATACTTAATCCTACATTTATATGAGAAGGATTGTATAAATTATAGGACATATATTTTATTTTCTATATTCCATATATAAGTTATAGTTTTCTTATAATTTATGAAAATATAATTTCCAAATATAGAAGAAATCTTTCTATATAAATTTAAATATTTAAAATTTCAAAATATATATTTATATAAGTATATTTAGTATTTTTATATGTTTAGTTTTTTAGTTGTTTTAAAAAAATTTATTGCATATATTTTTAGCTAATTGTATATTGTTATTTGTTAGTATATATATATGCTCTGTTTGCTATTATACTAAATTGTTATCGTAGCTCAGCGGTGTAGAATCTTTTATGAGTCCAAAAGGTCAGCAGTTCGATTCTCCATGGATACAGTTTTTCCATCATTATTTTCTAATAAAACTACTTTGTTTTGGAGCTTTGAAAACGACGTCGTTTCGATTTAACAGAGACTTCTAACGGAAAGTTAACGGAAATTTAAAAACATACCCAAAATGGCCAAGTCAACGAAACTTGACTATTTTATCAAAAAATCAAACTAAACTTTGTAATTTGAATGACATTTCGAAAGTTCATGCTTTTTCGTCCCAAATTTAAAAATTCGCGTTTTTTCCGATATTGTTCCCAAATAAATATACACAAAGCTAGAGACATCTTTTCCATTTGTTTTTTTTCCTTTTTTTTGGTGTGAAAGAGAGAGAGTGTCTCCCGTATTATTAAAAAGAAATTACAAATTACATTCAAACATGTCTTGAACGTGAAAGTCCGAGAGTGTCGTCAAACATAACCGAACTAACAAAGTCTGGCATATAAGCCAACATATGAAAACCGAGCGGTAAAAAGAACGCATAATTAGCTAATCCATCTACAAGACAATTAGCCTCCCTATACACATGCGAAACACAGAATATCCAGTTCTTCGTGATAAAGCCATAGCACAAGCGTACTAGGAATGACAGCGGATGAGCATCACTTATCCCTGTCTTAAGAAAACCAATACCTATCTCCGAATCCACTTCCAGCTCGACACGCCTAGCCCCTTTCTCCCAAGCTATGAACAAGCCGTAGTAAACTCCCCACAATTCAGCTAAAGGTGTCGCGCATACCCCTATATTAACCGCAAACCCACCACACCAATTACCATCATAGTCCCGTAGCACTCCACCTGCGGTTGCTAACCCCGGGTTCCCATGAGAAGCCCCATCCATATTCAGCTTCATCCATCCTTCCCCTGGCGGATGCCAAGCAATCTGCCTTTCGACCCGCTCCCCATGCATATGTCTGCCATTAATACTCATGGAAGAAAATGGCCACCACCTTAAATCCACCGGATAAAGCCTCCCTCTTTTCTGATTTAGTTTCGCCTTTTCTTTAGTTTTATGTTTGTTGGGGTTGTATTTGGAGATTCGAAAAGGCGAGACTATGTTTTTGTTCCTTTTAGGGTATAAGCTTTTATCGCTAATTCTTATCGGACTTATCGGATGTTATTCGTTGTAGCTTTGCCTTGGTCTCTGGTAGTTTGGTTAAGTTATAGGCTTCAACGGTTTCAAAGTTTTGTCGATTAGTTTTCATCTATTCCTACGGTATAGGATGCAGAACAGACAGTGTCTTCTGGTTTTTGATGAATGCTTTCACAATGTATGTGGTTGTTTGGTTTGGATTGAGGTTTTCCATTCGGTTAGTGATGGTTAACGTTTGCTCGACACTGTTTTTTTGGCTAGGCTTCAGGTGTCTTCTTGTTTTGGTGGAGATGTATTTTATTCCTCTCTGGTTCGATATGCTTACTTTTCTCGGGTTTTCGAGTTTGGTGCTACCCGGATTGGTTCGTTCGCTCTTCGTCTCTGCATTTCAAATCTGATCGAGATCTGCTCCTATCGTGAAGCTTGTATTTAGGCATGAATTGTCGCCTTGTCTACGACATCGCCGTACTCGGAAGAAAGTGTGAGGAACTCCTTAGTGGTTCTATCTTGCCGGGTTGTGAAACATTGGATTGTTGATTCGTCTAGGCAGTTTGTCAACTCAAGAGGAGGACTTGTGTAGCGAAGGTTGGTTTAGGGCAACTTCGTTACTTTCTCTTAAAGTATCTCCTGAAAATAGGTTGCTTTGTGTGTTATGGTTTGATTCGAGTTTGTCGAGTTTAATTTGTTGCTATCGTTTTCTTTGGTGGGGTTTACTCTCCTACCGCTTTATCCCTTTGCTTCATAGTATTAGTAGCGTGCCTCTCTTTTTTGGGCTTACGACTCCGGAGAAATCTTGTCTTCCACCGGCTTATGATGATATTAAAGAAACAGTAAAATGTAAAAATTGTTTTGCGTGAAGGATAAAATTAAGGAACATCCCAAAAAAATCTTAGAAACATAGGTTGGGGATACACATTCACAAGTACAACATTAAATAATTTTTTTTAGTAAATCAATCTTCTGACACAAACCAAATTGTCTTTTTTTTTTTTGGAAAAGGAAATAGAAATAATAAAAAAAAACCCTAACTTTGACCGTATAAAAAACACCTTCAACGCCGACTTATATTTCTTCTGCTTCTTCTCCAAGCGAACTTCATTATTTTCGCCAATCCGCTTCAAGCCTCCAACCATCCATCAGGTTTGTCGATCTCAACGTAAATCAGTTGTTTTCATGTTTAGGCAATGGATTTTCATTACTATTGCTGTATAGAAGCCCTAAGGTTTCGGGATTTTGAAATTTTGATTGATTCTGCTTTTAGCAGGATAAAGGCGGTTCCTTTTTGTTATTATGGGGTGGAACAAGGGTTTAGCTGAACAAGATCTAAGTAAGCTTGATGTAAATGAGCTACATCCTCTGTCTCCCGAGGTCATATCTCGCCAGGCAACCATAAACATTGGTAATTTTGAGGTTCTGGGTCTATATAAGCTGAGAGTGCACTGAAGCTAAAATGTTAACTGTGGTCTATATCTCAGGAACCATTGGTCATGTTGCACACGGAAAGTCTACGGTTGTGAAAGCTATTTCTGGTGTGCAGGTACTGGACTATTTTCTTTTTCTAATGAACTGTCACTAGAGGTTCTTCTAACTTGATATCAATTGTTTCTGCAGACTGTCCGTTTTAAGAATGAATTGGAGCGTAACATTACCATTAAACTTGGATATGCAAATGCCAAGATTTACCAATGTGAGGATAACAAGTGCCCTAGACCAATGTGCTACAAGTGAGTTCTGTTCTGGATTGATTTTAATCTTCTTTTGATGTATATGAGGGTAGCTAGCAACTTATCTGTTATTTTTCTAGGTCTTATGGGAGTGGGAAAGAAGACAACCCAAATTGCGATGTCCCTGGATTTGAGAACTGCAAGATGAAGCTACTGAGGCATGTCTCCTTTGTGGATTGCCCGGTATGATGAGTTTTACACTTTTCAGATGCATATTTCAAAAAAAAGTAGAAACTTTTACTTCTCCTATAACCATTGAGGTGTTTTCTGTTTTCTCAACAGGGACATGATATTCTCATGGCCACAATGCTCAATGGGGCCGCCATCATGGATGGTGCTCTACTTTTAATTGCTGCGAATGAGGTCTGTCCTCAACCACAGACAGCTGAACATCTTGCTTCCGTCGATATGATGCACCTTAAGCATATTATAATCCTTCAGAACAAGATTGATCTCATTCAAGAAAAAGCCGCCATGGAACAGCACACGGCAATTCAGAGATTTATAACGGTTTGAATTTTCCCATCTCTAAAAAAATCTCTTGTTGCATATTTTCTTCATCAGTTGGTTAAGCTACAAACCTGTTGCAGAACACAAATGCCGAGGGTGCCCCTATAGTTCCTGTCTCAGCACAACTGAAATACAACATTGATGCTGTGTGCGAGTACATTGTCAAGAAGATTCCAATCCCTAAAAGGGATTTTGTGTCACCGCCAAAGATGATAATCATTCGTTCTTTTGATGTCAATAAACCTGGCTATGAGGTTACTGATATTAAAGGTGGAGTGGCAGGTGGAAGTATCTTCCGGGTATTGATCCTCTTCTCTTCATTTACCTTGGACTGTGTTCAAATTATCTTGCCATCTCGCTGGAAGTTGTATAGTTTCATTTCTGCAGTCCTCCATTGAATTGTTATCAATGGGCAAAACATTAGGAAAACAAACAAACTAAACGACTTTTATCATGCTTGGGTAGCTTCTGCTTAAACAATTTAGTATATAATTGCCATCCCTTTGTTTGTATTGCATGGTCCAATTTGATCTTTGCTTTCTTTGCAGGGTGTTTTGAAAGTAAACCAATTGATTGAGATCCGACCTGGTATCGTTAGCAAAGATGAGGTTGGAAACCCAAGATGCTCTCCCATTTACTCCCGTATCACTTCATTGTACGCAGAACAGAACGAGCTTCAGTTTGCTGTGCCGGGAGGTCTGATCGGAGTTGGGACAACGATGGACCCTACCCTCACGCGTGCTGATAGGTTGGTTGGTCAAGTGCTTGGTGAAATGGGTTCTCTCCCTGATGTCTATGTTGAGCTTGAGGTGAGTTTCCAGCTTCTGACCCGTCTTATTGGGGTGAGGACAAAGGAAAAAGAGAAGCAGATGAAAGTGGCAAAGCTAAGCAAGGGAGAGATACTGATGGTGAACATCGGGTCGATGTCGGCGGGAGCTAAGGTTCTAGGAGTGAAGAAAGATATGATGAAAGTGCAACTGACGGTGCCTGTCTGCACCAACATAGGAGAGAAGGTGGCTCTAAGCCGCCGTGTCGACAGGCATTGGCGTTTGATTGGTCGTGGTCAGATTGAGGCTGGAACCACCGTTCCCGTCCCTCCTTCTCCTAGTTTCTGATTAGCTGCTTGAGAATATCAATAATTTGCATCCAGGTTTATTTGCATCATAATATGCATCTCTGAATAAGTCACAGGGGGGTAACTGATAGTCTCTGAATTTATTTGCACCATAATATCAATAATAAATCTGATATATAAATAAGCATTTGAATTAGCTGATGCAGAGCCCATTGCAAACACAGTGTGTGTGACAAGTTAATTCCTAATCTTAAGACCGGGTTTGATAATCGATATTGACTTCGCTATAATTGACAGTCTACGAATCATATAAAATATATGGTACCATTTGTTTTATCTTCATAACCTGGCATTCACTTCATTAGCTTCCAAATTTGGTTCTTCCGCAAGTGCTTTGGTTCTTCAGTCCGGTGATCCATAGTTTCTAGCTAAATATCTGCTGTAGTCGTCTTCTATTTTTCGCATTCAGCATCTGATTCCAACATTTAAATGAGAGAACGTTGTGAAACATATTCTCTCTTACAGAATAAGCAAAACACATTTTAAACAGGAAGGTCGAAATCAGGACTTGCTGACCTCTTTCTCACTCTAGTGACCCTAGCTCAAAGGTCAAACATCAGCTGTAGGTGCGCCTTTTAATTAAGTTTGGACCTGAGCAACTAATTAAGCTTACTGGCCTAGCTAGGCAGCTACTGTTTATTCTCATCTATGACGAATTCTTCTCATCTTCTTTCGCATGTACGCAACAACTAATGCATATTCTCTTCGATAGCTCCTTAGAATCTTGCCAAGTAGTCTCCGGAACGTATCACAATATAGGACTATAGGAAAAGAAAACTTCCATGTAAGGCGTGAGATATTCAAATGTGACATTAAGCTACATAACTAACTAACATTTGAAAAGGTGCAAAGAAATCGGCTAGTTTCAAGTAACCAATTCAACTCCTCGTATAAAAAAAACCACATCAACTATGTGAAGAACACATAAATTCAGTTTGCCAAAGAGTTGACCAGCAAGAGTAAGGTAAAGTTGCTGTATTAAATACCACTGATAGGAAGGTTTAACTTACTATAATTCCTATATATTGTCCGAGGTTTGTAGTAAGGAGACAAGGAGAAATGCCCATCCAAGCATGGTTTATATTACATCCTTGGGAAAAGATATGGTATAACATAATCAATTTGATTCTATCTTGAGCATGCTTGGTATATTTGGACTCTGCACCAGCTATGTTGAAACTTGAAACAGTTGCAAAACACATGAGAGAAACATCTTTGTTCTTTTATTTCTTTTCACTCTCTTATACATTGGCTATTTATAGTAGACACATTAGGTTTAGCATTGTTAAAGTCATATTTTTAACACTTTTTATATGTCTTTTTAATATGTTTTATCGAGTCTTTTTGGGGTATATTATGTGGTTGTGAACATGGGTATCATTGACATCCTCCAAGAGTACAATATGAAGAAGAAAGTGGAACATACTTGCAAAGCTATGAAATATGATCCTTTAGGATATGTTTATCAAATGAAACAATTATTTATTAAAATGTTCTCCACTCCACCTAATAATAATCCTATAACATGGGACCAATACTTTGATTATCATATCGTCATCTTATCATATTCATCATCATCATCATCATCATCGATCAAGATGGATGAACCTTATTCCCAGCTGCAGTCTTCCAAGCTGATCTCATAGACGCAGCGGCTGATCCCATCGCCGCTGCAATATGCCGTTTCGCGGCAATTGTGGCGGCTTTCTCCATTAAATTCCCCGTTCTCCGAGCAGTCTCCGCTTTATCCTCAAGCTCTTTCAGCTCCGCCGCCTCCATCCTCTCCATCTCCTCCAACGTTCGCCGGTACTCCTCCATTCCCCACTCCATATCCCTAAAAAAACCATAATAATCAGATCTGACAAAACTCGAAACAAGAAAAGGGCAAAGTTTTACCGATCGAGTTCGAGTTCGGCTTCACGGAGAGAATCTTCAGCTTCTTCGAGTTCTTGTTGCTGTTCGGATTCGAGAGCTGCCCAAGCTTTGTAGGAATCGACTTCGAAGAGACGCATAAGGTCTTCGATTCTTGAAGGGTCGAATGTTTTGTCGACAAGAGCTTGATCGGAGAGGAGAGTGAAGTGGTGAATTAGAGCTTCCATGTTTTGGTGTGAATTTGATGGAGAAGATGATGATAGGAGAGAATCGAATGATTCTTGTAATGTGGAATTTTGGAACAAGTGGATGACAATAATGTAAGGCAGAGAGAGTAAAGTTTACCGTTGGGGATATTTGACGCAATTGTCAAAAGTTGAAATGATTGGTGTGTGGTAAAAAGTAAAGTTATAGCCTATGGTTTCAATCTAACGAAAATGAAGACCGTTACTTTATTTATAAATTAAAAATAAATCATATCATAAACCTTAATAACCATCATGTAAACTTAAACATGATCCAAAATTAAAAGAGATGAACTCCATAATGTAACTTAAACATGATCCAAAATTAAAAGAGATGAACTCCATAATGTGATATTTTGGATCATATTATTTGTTGCATGATATGAATCAGCCATCATATATCAATTTGTTGTTGAAACCATTGTTTTACTAAGTGTCGATTCAACGAGCAAATTGACGCATCTTTCAAAGAAATCAAATGGATTAAGCTTTTGTCTAATTAACAAAAGAGGTAGCAGTTTCCGTTGAGGTTAGATGGATTCTGTGACAGAATTAGAGCAAATATAGTTTCTGATATACATTTTTTTTTTTTGTATATGTCACCATGTATTATTCTTTTGTTGGTGTGGTCATCTGTTCATTGTTGTAGTTGAGATAGTCCCTTTTTTTTGGGGATAATCAACCAAAACAATTTTCATCGGAGCAGCCCGCTATCGTTTGAGGCTTTGAGCAGGTCTCGACGTCGCCGTCTTAAGAGCCCACTTAAACAAGAAAGTAAATTTTCGTAAGCTTTTTAAACAAGAAAGTGATTAGGTCTTTTGCTTTAGGATTTTCGTTGGAATTTAATTATACGTGTATTGGCTAATACATTTAAACAATCATGATAAATCTGGAAATTTTGTTAAAAATTTGCATTGAAAATATAAAACGACAACTACGGAGAAAGTATTAAGTTGTTGATACGTGGAGATTGATTAATGTAGATTTGGATAGTGGAGCCCATATCTTAGAAAACGAAAAGTTGCGTGGTTCCCAAATTGAAAGAAGTGAAAACTATAGAATCAATAATTGTTGAAATCTTTTGATTCTTTCTCAACAAGTAAACTTGTTTATAGAAAGCTGGTGAAGATCGTCTAAGTCAACTTCATTGGCGTGCAAAGCAAGTAGTACTTGCCAAGTACCAAAAGAATCTTTATAGTATTATTTTTGGTGAGGCAAAGAGTCTTGGCACATTTGTTATATACTTACTCATCACTCATCAAATTTCCTTCATTTTGTTTTGCAAACCCCCTTTAAAACCCTTTTTTGATATTTCATTTAGTTCTAGTACTATGGAGGTTCCCAAATCCAGGAGAGATCAGAAGTATCAAAGAATTCAATGTCTAAAGATCTATGATACCATAAGAATACGGGAAAGGGCCCAAGAGCTCATAGATGAGATTCAACAAGAGGTAATTGTTTTTTTTTTTAAAAAAAAAAAAAAAAAACAAGAGGTAATTTAATATTGGAGAAAAGAAGAAAAAGTCTTTAAGATCTTGAAAAGAGTATATACATTATTCTAAGTCTAACAAAAACAAACTTTGTGTCTTGTATATTTATTTGTAACAGCTTGATCCCGAAAACATCATCTCAAGACTAAGGAAGTCATTGCAATATGCATTAGGTTTCAACGAAAATTGGAAAACGACAGACTGTGATCAGTTGGCTTGTTTAAAGATCGAACTTGACAAGCTAACCTTTGCTCATGGCGCATATCCTGATAAGAAGAATGTTCATGTAAAGAATAATACAACGAAAACCTCTTCTTCTTTATCCTTTTTTCCTTCAATCTCAAAATGTTTAATAGAATCTGCTGATGCTAGCTAATATATATTTATCATAGAACCTAAATCATCGGATGCTGCACGGGGTACATGATATGGATGCTGAGAGATGTCTTCTCAAGATGTTTTATTCAAAAAAACATAAAGAATCAGTGTTTCCATCAAAGAAGCATGAACAACAAGTACGAATTTTTATTCTTCTATTTAATTTGCTCAATTGATTTCCATTTTGATCTTTTTTTTCATAACCCTTAATTTGAGTTAACTTTCTCATAGGATAAACTAAGAGAATTTAACCGGAGTTCTGTATTGTCAAAAAAGGAGATACAGAAACAGATTCAGGTAAGTGTATCATTTAACTGCAAAAACTACTTCCGCTAGTTCCGTTTGATTTTTCTTTGGAGATTAGTTCAGTTTTAATTTCACAGCAAAATACCTTTACTTTAGTTTAAAGAAACATTATTCTCAACTTTTTTTCCTGTTATCCATAAGTGAATACATCATGTTGAAAATTGAAATGCACTACGAGTCATATTAGTTTTGTTTAGATGTTGAATGGATATATATATGGTTTTTCTCTAGCTTTTGTTTTTAAAAACAAAAACATTGTGTACTATCTATTCATTCTTTAAAAGTAAAAACATCATTAATCTAATTTTCTTTATCATTTCTAAAAAAGAAACTTAAAGTTTATAATTTTAGTTTTCCTTTCTCCAAATCAAAAGACTCAAACTAAAAATTTATTTAAAATTAAGACATTTTTAATTTTTCTAAGTTGTTTTGGATTCTCAATCTTGGCATCATATAAATAGCTTTCAAACCAACACAATGGAGTAAATTTTTTAATGGTAGGTTTTGGAGAAAAGACGTGAAGAAGATATAAATGTGATTATGGATAGAAGAAAGAAACTAGAGTTAATCAAGCGAGAGATAACAAGAGCAAGACCGTGCAGTCTAATGGTTTGGGGTGTTTGCTCACATCCTAAAATTAATGAGTTCGATCCATTTCTTTGGGGGCTTTGTGGGTGTACTAGTCAAAAACCGTTATCGAAGAAAAACAGAGAGACGACGATTGCAGCTATGAGGATGAAATCTTTAAGAGAGAAATTAGAGAGCATACGAGAACAAAGACAAAGAATTTTTGTAACTTTGTTGTTTCAAATGGATGATTTGGAGTACCTAAAAGCTGAGCAAGATGGATGAATTATATTTTGTGAGTGTTGACAACAACATTTTAAAGTTATTAAAGTTGTAAATATTTGTGACATGGCTTACTTAACAATTTCGTAAGATATGTGACATGAGGATGGTTTTGTCATCTGATATTATTTCCGTCTGTTTCTGTAATGAATTATAAATTGAGGGGTTTGTTTGTAAAAACGTTAATTTCAGATTTTTCTGGCTCTTCCCGAAGCAAATAAAAAACATCATCAAACAGCTCTGAGTCTCGCGAGATCTAAATTTTCAAATCGAAGAAGAAAGCAAAAGACAGCAATTCGAGGGTTTACTTGTCTTGTCTTGTTGACTCGATTCGTAGACTTTTTGTCTGGAGCTTCTTCTTGTTTTGCCTTAACAATGGCGGGTTTCATCAATCTTGAGGATTCCCCAATGTTTCAAAAACAGGTACACTACTTTATACCTCATTAGTGATATATTCAAGTTTCTTCCAATAAAGTAAATTTAGGATTTGATCGATTTTTTTTGTTCAGTGGTGGTTAATTTGGTTAATTGGATCAGGTTTTCTCCTTGGAAGGGACAACTGATGAGCTTAAAGATCGTTGTCAGAAGTTGTACAAAGGTGTCAAGAAGTTCATGTAAGAGTAAAATCTATCTTCTTTTTTTTTTGGTTGTTTCCGTTTTTGTCGTAATGTCTTAATAATCATCTTTCTTTGTCTTATTCATAAGTCATTCTCTTGAACTGTTTGACGATGAAAGTTTTAAACTTTTGTACCATTTAAGACTCAATGGAAAGGAAATTCTCAACGATTAGCACTCTTGTTCTCACCTTCATTTTCTGTCTTTTTGTTTGTATCTTTCTCTTCAATTGTCTTTTCCGAAACTTGATAGGAGTTGCATTATTTTTTTTATATAGGGGGGCTTTGGGAGAGGCATCTACTGGAGTCAGTGCCTTTGCAGATTCTCTGGAAGAGTTTGGTGCTGGACATGATGATCCCGTCAGTGTTTCAATTGGAGGTTGTCGCTAATTAAATTGATTAGGCCACTCTTATTTGTTTGATTACTTAGTTTAGGTTCAATGAACTTTGATACATTCTCCACAGAGGAGATTGTGGGCTCTTTGGTTAATATAAAATAACTATGATGCAGTCCTTTAGCTCACCAGTTAGTTATAGAGTACTGCTATATGCAAGTAGTGGTGGTTTTGCGGTTTCTCCGTTTGGGCTTCTCATCCATTAATTTACTAAAGCAAGTCATTTTATTGACGCGTGGTTTTTAATTAGTAGACTTTGTTGGAGGACTGGGTTACACTTGGAGTAGACAGTGATAGTGGGAATGATATTGGAAAAAACCCACTTAGGTATGTTGAGACATGTTGGATGATAATTAGGAAGCATAGCTTTTATAGAGTTTCACAGGCTCAATCTGGATAAGTCATGTATGAACTCTAAGTTCATGAGTTCTAGTTTCCCACTTTTTTCTTATGATATGATTGACTGAATATCCAAGAAAATATGTAGAAGGTCTTGTTTCTGATATATTTCGTTGTTATACTTTTGGGTGGCACCAGGTCCAGTAATATCTAAATTTATAAATACACTTCGAGAGCTCTCCTCTTATAAGGAGTTTCTTCGCTCACAGGTAACTCCCTTCGTATCTTGTGTATACACATAAATATCAGTGAAGACCGAATAATGTCTCATTATTGGAAGCTTTATATTTGTTTGGTCGCTAAAAACGTTTGAGGGCATACTAGTCTTGTTTGTTCGTACTTTCCATTACAAATGTTTGGTAGAGAAATCTAAAATGTAGTGAGTTTGAAAACCAAAATTTGGATATTTGCTTGAAAACTGTTTCCCTTCACTGCATCATTTGTAGAAATGTTGTGTTTTTGTAGGTGGAGCACGTATTACTTGAGAGGCTGACAAATTTTATGACTGTTGATCTACAAGAAGCAAAGGTAACCTCTTTTTACCCTGCAAATTTTGATTGTTTTCTACATTTTCTGTACTGTGAAGTGTAAAATGTGATCGTCAAATATTACAGACTGATCAATAAACAAAAGATTAGGTTGTTGTTTTTTGAATCCCACCTGTTGGCTATAACGATTTGTCATTCTCTTATTTCTATATTTTCCTTTTCTTGAGTGAAGCATTTTAGAAGAAAAGTACATTCCTTCCTGCATTGATCTATGAAATATGTTATCAAAAATTAAAGCTATCATTTGACAATAATCGACTTTACTGTTTTCTACCTTTTCAGGAGTCTCGGCGTCGTTTTGATAAAGCTGTCCATTCTTATGATCAGGTAATTGATTATAGTCTAGTGCTTCGCTTACTTATTGTGTTTGGAGATATTCGTCTTATCTGCCTTTTGATAAAATATGTTATTGGTGTCACTACAGTTAGAACTTAGTTTTTTCTTTCTTTTTACACTAATATCGAAATGGCTGGTGCTTGGTCATTTGAAAAGATACTAGATGGAAGTTTATTTGTTTATGTAAAACAAGTTTGCAGAACAAGTGGTGTAAGTTTTCTTTTCATCTTCTGCGTAGTACAAAAGAGTTTTCAAACATGGGAGACTGACAAGCATCATATTTGATGCTTAATCTATTTAAGATATAATGTTGTGCATGGTATTCTTGAGCTAAAGCTATGAAATGAATTTTCTTATTCATTTGAAGGCACGTGAAAAGTTTGTGTCGCTAAAGAAGAATACCAGAGGAGACATTGTTGCTGAGTTGGAAGAGGTATTGGCACTGTATTTCATATATAAAAATTAATATTCAAGAAAAATCTCACGCAGTGATGTGTGTACATATCTTTTTCTGTATTCACGCATGCGTAAATAACCATATATTATATCTTTGGGATTCTAACGAACTTGTCGTGTTGTGTCAACAGGATCTGGAGAACTCGAAGTCAGCATTTGAGAAAAGCCGTTTTAATCTAGTATGCTAAGTCTATGAACAGAAGCCACTACTACTATGATATTTTGACCTTTCTGCGTCTAATTGGTTTTCTCTTTGATTTAAGGAATGCAGGTAAATTCATTGATGACCATTGAAGCAAAAAAGAAGTACGAGTTCTTGGAATCTATAAGTGCAATTATGGATTCCCATTTGAGATATTTTAAGCTTGTAGGTTTCTTCTTATTTTGCATCTAGATATGTCACCAAGTGTGACCAACTAAGGGCAACATCTGTGCCACGTTGTATTCCTTAATTTGGTCTCTTTGTGTTTCAGGGTTATGATCTATTGAGTCAATTGGAGCCTTACATCCATCAGGTACAACCTTAATATCAACTCTTCCGACAGTGGGAATATGCAAATAAATAGTTTGGGAGCTTGTATTGCCAACTCGTTTACTAATGCATATGAAACGGGTGCCAATTACCTCTGTTTAAACCATGTATCTCTCCCCCTTTGTTCGGTGCTTTTGCGAAAAAGAAAAGCTAGAAAATGATGAGGTTTTCCGAAAGGCTAACATTTTGTTTTTAGGATAAATATGGCTCTAGTAATTTGATGTATAGTTGTTTCTTGTTGGTGATAGACATGTTTAATAGTTAAAGGACCTATAATTTCCACCCGCTAACAAGTGATGTAAAAAATTTATAATCTTAAGCTAATCAAGAGATAATGACGTGCAGACTTAGAGACTTAACAGTTAAAGATACTTAAAGCTCTCTCTAAGAAAATTCATTAATACTGCTACTTGCTACTTTTCCTCTTACAGGTATTGACATTCGCACAACAATCAAAAGAACAGTCTAAGATTGAACAAGATCGATTTGCAAGACGCATTCAAGAATTCAGGACTCAATCTGAATTAGACAGCCAACAGGCCTCTGCTAAAGCAGATCCCTCTGGTGTTGATGGAAACCATGTTTATAGAGCTATCCCCCGTAAAAGTGTAGAAGCAAATTCAATTTCAACAGCAGACAAGGAAGTAAGGGTCTCCAACTCACTCACGTAGGGTCTCCAAACCATAGTTTTCAGTTTTCAAAAATTGTTCCAATGGTTCTCTGGTAAAGAAATTGATTAAGTTTTGTCTTGCCACTGGCAAATGGGTAGAAGTGGCATAGTTTGCCCAAAGATATAACGGTCGCTGTCTCTGGATATGGCTATGTAGATTGACAGGATCTTGCTTGGCCTACTGTTGTTTTCTAACTGACACAATTAATCCAGCTCCCATACAGATGCTTATAAAGTTAAAGTAATAGTGTCAATATTTGTGTTGCCCTTGCAAAGAATATTTCTGGCTTCAAGACTTGGGCCTTCTGTTGTAAGATTTAATCTGCAATACAATTATGCAGAAATTGAGATTTATGATGACTAGTTGTACACTTCACTGCTTCAGTTCTTGTCCAGGCTAATGTCTTACTTATTTTGTCTTCTGTACAAATGCAGGCAACTAAACAAGGGTATCTATTAAAGCGATCAGCTAGTTTGAGAGCTGATTGGAAAAGGAGATTCTTTGTGCTTGACAACCATGGATCCCTATACTATTACAGAAACACCGGTAATAAATCAGCGGTATGTGTGCCAAGCTCCTTTTCACTGCCTCATTTCCATGAAAGAGATCCATAAGTTCTTTCAAACTTGGTTATAGTTCTAGATGTCAATGTCCAATTTCGTACATTTTTTTTATATATGAATTGTAGATATCTCTAGCACTCCCTCATGGCGTGGCTATATTTATATTTGTGTCTGTTAAACAAGTCTTTCTTACCTTTGTATTCTTTCATTTTAAGTTTCACTTTCTCAGTTTCTATCCTTCTAATCATCTTTTTCTATTTATAGGGATCTCAGCATTACTACAGTGGTTTAGGAGAGCATAATAGTGGCGTCTTTGGGAGATTTCGTTCAAGACACAATCGATCAGCTTCACAGGGAAGCCTAGATTGCAATATGATCGATCTCCGTACCTCACTGATAAAATTGGACGCAGAGGACACAGATCTTCGACTCTGTTTTAGAATTATATCTCCTCAAAAGACTTACACATTACAGGTACTGAATTTATTAGATATAGAAACGTGAACGAGCAAACATAGCTTCATGAGGCCAACACAATTTATTTCTCTATGCTACAGGCTGAAAATGGAGCTGATAGGATGGATTGGGTCAATAAGATCACAGCAGCTATAACAACACGCCTGAATTCTCATTTTCTGCAGCAGGTTTACATAATATGAGTCTTAGAATTTTCTTTCAACTTCAGCTTTCGTGCTAATATGGTATATATTATCTTCTGCAGTCACCAGCTAGATACTTGGATAAAAACTATACTAGTTCTGGTCCTGCTACTGATGACCTCACCCTGAATCAAAAACAAGATTATAATCAAAGACTAAATATGGGGGATGACGTCCTTACAATACTCAGAGGACTTCCTGGAAATAACGAATGTGCAGAATGCAATGAACCTGACCCCGATTGGGCATCATTGAATCTTGGAGTTTTGATGTGCATTGAATGTTCTGGTGTTCACAGGAATCTCGGCGTCCATATATCCAAGGTAATTTGCTTCATTTTGGTAAGATAAAATGTAGCTTTTGTCCATTCAGTTTGAGGTTGTATGGGCTAGTTTAGTTTGCTGTATAGCTAACCATGTGCTATCTATCGTTGCATCAACCAGAATTTGATAATCTGAAGTGTTTATATTTCTTGCTGAAGTAAACATTTGTGTATGAGTCATTAACGTTTTTCCCGAGTGCTTAGATATTTAAGCTAATGTCAAATATTGTCTGCAGGTGAGATCGCTCACATTGGATGTGAAAGTATGGGAGCCTACAATCTTGGACTTATTTCGGAACTTAGGCAATGCATACTGTAATTCGGTGTGGGAAGAGCTACTTCACCTTGAGGATGACGGGTATGAAATCTCAAGGAAAACTAGATTGTTTGTATTTTAAAGTAAAGAAGATCGTCTCTCTAACACAATCAAGAAATAACATTACTTGAATCAAAAGCATCTGTTCCTCTTTTACAAGATTCTATTTTCACAAGTGTGTCAAAACATGGGATTGATCAACTTTTTTACTTTCCTATCTTCTGTTGAATATTTGCAGTGAAAAGGGTCCAACAGACACACTTGCATCGATTCCGAAACCATCTTCAGAAGATTCCTTTACTCTGAAGGAGAAATACATTCATGGAAAGGTATGAGATTTAGAAAAAGTTTTCGCATTCATGTCACTTGGTGTATCATCCAAATAAGCATATGCTTGTAAATAGAAAAGGCTTATTATACTAAACCTGATCATGTTTATGCCTAAGTAGTACCTGGAGAAAGCGCTAGTTGTCAAAGATGAAAGAGAAGCAAACTCTACTGCCTCAAGTAGAATATGGGAAGCGGTTCAAAGCAGGAACATAAGAGACATCTACCGACTCATTGTAACAGCAGATGCAAATATCATCAATACGAAGTTCGATGATATTACTGACGTTGATGCATATCACCACCACCATGTTGATGCACCAGATGAAGTAAAGAGAAGGCACGATCCAAATGCGTGCCAGAGAATCAAGGATTCGAACGAACCAAGAAACTGTCTTCAAGGCTGTTCGTTGTTGCATGTGGCATGTCAAAGCGGTGACCCGATCTTGCTTGAACTGTTGTTGCAGTTTGGGGCTGACATAAATATGAGAGATTACCACGGAAGAACTCCGTTACACCATTGCATCGCATCAGGGAACAACACATTTGCAAAGGTTTTACTGAGAAGGTAACACACTAACTAATAAACCTGTTTTTTTACCTCAATGAGGAACATTTTGCTTTAATACTAAGTGTCTCTCTTCTTTGAATTCGACAGAGGTGCTCGTCCATCAATTGAGGATGGTGGAGGATTAAGTGTGTTGGAAAGAGCAATGGAGATGGGAGCCATAACTGATGAAGAGCTCTTCCTTCTATTAGCAGAGTGTCAGTAATATATACCATTACCTTTTGGTGATTGATTGCTAAGCAAAAGATTATGAGACGGATGCTCTTTCGTCCTGTCACTGTAACATGTAACTGTTGTAGTATTTTTGTTTCTGGTATATTCAAATCACTTTGTAGCCGGAAGATTGATTACAGACACTATTCTCATTTCCGTAGATAATTTCGATCAAGTCTCAAGAACAAGCCCCGTGTTATTTTCTACCTAAAGCTATGTGCACTAAATTACATAGTGTTATTGCCAATTTGTGGATTTAATTGCTGAAAAAGCTTTGTTTTCTTTCGAACAATTTGTTTGGTTAATTAATAAAAGCTTTTTGGTAGTTCACAAAATAAAATAAAGAGAAGGTTTGTTGACAAAAAAAAAAATATTATGTATTGTTTGTTTGGTAAAACGCGTTTCTTCTTCGAACCGAAAAAAAATAGAAGAGATTAATAAAAACGGCGGCTTTTTCAAAACCCTTCGCCGTTTGTTCTTCATCTCCTCGCCGCCGCCTCTACTCTCTCTTTCTCTCAAAATTGCTCAATATCTCAGCCACAGGTAAGCTTCTTCGACTTCACTTTTTTAACCTAATACTACTTTTCTCATTCCCCGTGGTTTCCTTTGTTAAACCCTTCTCAATTTGGTAAACCCTAGTTCTGCTGTAGAGCTAGACAAGGATGGTGACTAAAGCAGAAAAGCAATTCGCCAAGAATTTCAACATAGACGATCTCCCTGACGTCCCTACCGGTCTTCCTCCACATCTCAAAGCCCAGCAAACTGGCGTCGTCTCTAATAACAACGCTCCTCTTCATGTAAAGAACTATTCTCGTTCAAAATTACAGTCTTTTATGCTCTGTATTGTTGGCTCTAAGCTCATCTAATTAGAAAATCTGTAGCTTTTCTCAATGGTCCCATGTGGGTTTGAGTTTTATCGTTGCTGTGTTACTAATACTGAGTAAAGTTTGTATTTTTCCTGCGAGAAGCCGTGAATTTGGTAGTTTAATCGTTGCTGTATTCATGATACAGAGTAAATTTCATCAAGTCTTTAATCTTGTGTTTGTGTTTTCTGTAGACTGCGAGTGCCATTTACTCTGGTAGCTATGTTTCTTCTATGGGAGTGGACGACAGTGTGAAACTAGAAAACTTCTATGAGAATTTCAAAGTTGATGTGATTAGTCTCACAAAGACCGATATGGAATTCGATATGATTGGTATCGATGCAGCATTTGCCAATGCATTCCGAAGGATCCTTATAGCTGAGGTATGTCCAGTTTTCACACAACCTCTGATGAGTCCCTCATTGTTGTAATCTTTGGCTTAAAGTGTTTATTTCTTTATTGCAGCTTCCTTCAATGGCTATTGAAAAAGTTTTAATAGCATACAACACATCGGTTATTATAGATGAGGTTCTTGCTCACAGGATGGGTCTTATTCCAATTGCCGCAGATCCAAGACTATTTGAATATTTATCCGGTAAGAATATATTCAGTGGCATGTGATCCATCTACATAGGAATATATTTCTTCTGGTTAGCTTAATTCTTTATCTCTGTATGATAGAACATGATCAGGCGAATGAAAAGAACACCATTGTTTTCAAACTCCATGTGAAATGTCCGAAAAATAGACCACGTCTTAAAGGTAATATATGTTCATTAGTTAGCATCAGAAGGTTCCTTGTTTTATATCAGCTCAATCTCGCATGAAAGATATCATTTCATTTTCTTGTAGTTTTAACAAGCGATTTAAAATGGTTACCAAATGGAAGTGAGTTTCTGAGAGAATCAGGAGGTTCAACCTCAAAGCCAAAAACTTACACTTCATTCAGTTGCAGCCAAGATTCCTTACCCGAATTTGCTAATAATCCTATCACTCCGTGCGACCTCGATATCTTGGTAGCAAAACTCGCCCCTGGTCAGGTAGTGTTTCTATGCTTTCTGTTTCTATACACCTAAGCAGACTACTTGCAATGAGAGATGAAACAAGTGCATCTTCTTATCTCTTTTTTTCCAGGAAATCGAACTCGAAGCTCATGCGGTTAAGGGCATTGGTAAAACACATGCAAAGTGGTCTCCAGTAGGGACTGCTTGGTATAGAATGCATCCTGAGGTGAGATGTTTATACATCAATCTATCATGCTTTATGAGAAACAGCTCTTTGTTTCTTCTTTCCTCATCCGAATCTGTTTCGTAATGCTTTTGTTTATACTATCTTAGGTGGTTCTACGTGGGGAAGTTGAGGATGAGCTTGCTGAACGACTTGTAAAAGTCTGCCCACAAAATGTTTTCGACATTGAAGACATGGGAAAAGGTGACGTATAAAATCTTCTTACTTGTTAACACCAAAATCTTATGAAAGCTGATGAACTTGGCTGCACGACCTTCTTAAATTTGATCTCATACTGACTTGTGGAATACAGGTAGGAAAAGGGCAACTGTAAAGCAGCCGCGTAAGTGCACGCTGTGTCAGGAATGCGTAAGAGACGATGATTTGGTAGATCGTGTTGATCTTGGCAGTGTCAGGAACCATTTTATATGTAAGAAGAGAAAAAAAACAAAAAACCATTCCATTTACTCTATGATTCATTGATCTGAAAAATATCGTAATTGAGTTTTTTGTTGCCTTTTTTTCTCAGTTAACATCGAGTCCACCGGATCACTTCCTCCGGACGTTCTCTTCACTGAAGCTGTGAAGATATTGGAAGCTAAATGTGAAACTGTAGTCGCCGATTGTTGAGTTCAAGTTTGACTTGTCTGTCTATCAATGTTTCTCCTTATTAGTAGTCATACAAACAAACAGCATTTGACTTATTTATTTATAGTTGTGGTTCAATTTGTGTTTCAATAGCTGAACCAATTTGGGAATCTGCTTCGGTTTAATTTGGTTTTCAGCCGGTTATTGAAATTTTAACTGTGGGTTAAGAATCCCCCATCGGTTTGGTTAAGGAGCCGACTCCGAGCATAAGTAATCGGATTTGAACCCAGTAATTTATGGAGTCCCGGTTCGGAATAAACCGTCTCTGGAATCGGTATAAGAAGAGACTTGAATGATGTTCGTGTTCTTTGTCTGCTCGAGAGAAATATAGAACTAGGGTTTCCAATTTAGGCTCTGAACGTAGGTCAAGGTCTGAACAGAGATCACGTTCACTGTCAAAGAGGTACTTCGACATGGCGGATGTTGGATTGTCGTCTTCAGGGTCTACCGATGGGCTTGAAGGTCCCGACCGGATTTTTGTTGGAGGGTTTCCACATTACTTCACAGATGCACAAATCAGGGAGATTTTGGAGTGTCTTGGTCCTCTAAGAGGTTTCAACTTTCTTAAAGACAGACAAACTGGAGACTCTAAGGGATATGCCTTCTGTGTTTACCAAGATCCTTCAGTAACAGATATTGCATGTGCCGCTCTAAACGGGATTAAGATGGGTGATAAGACCCTTGAAGTTAGGCGTGCAATGCAAGGTACGATGCAACCGAACCCCGAGCAAGAAGAATTCTTACAACAGATTGGCCAACAAGCTTTGCAGGTGAAGGATTTAGATTCACGTTTGTTTACTTTATAGTTTACTAGAAGATCACTAATTTTAAATCTGTCTTGTAGCAGAGACTTATGTTAGAACCAGGAGGTACTCCTACTAAGATTGTCTGTTTGAGTCAAGTGATTAAAGCTGATGATCTTAGAGATGATGAAGAATATGTAGACATAATGGAGGACATGAGAGAAGAAGGTGGAAGATACGGTAAGCGATTCGATTTATGTTCTGACATTATACCATTAGCACATTACTCAGGGTTTTACATGCATGGTCTAAAATAAACTTTGATAAATCATTGTTGTGTGTGTAGGTAACTTAGTGAATGTTGTGATTCCGAGGCCTAATCCAGATCATGGCCCAACACCAGGAGTTGGAAAGGTTTGATTTCAATTCTCAGATACAATGTCTACCAAATTCATAAATAAATTGCATACTCTGATTAATGATTAATATATTAATATATGAATGTAGGTTTTCTTTGAGTATGCGGATGTGGATGGCTCATCGAAGGCCAGATCGGGGATGAACGGAAGAATATGTGGAGGAAACCAAGCGGTGGCTGTGTATTACCCCGAAGACAAGTATGCGCAAGGCGACTACGAAGACTGAGCTATCTATCATCTTCTTCTTAAGCTTTTTTAGTTTGGTTCTCTTAGCAAACAAGTTTGGATCTTTATGTTATTTTTTTTTTACATGTTAAGGTCTCTCTCTACTAAATGGAGATATTTGGTTGTCTAGAATCTGACTGCAATAGTAGCTTTTGGTTTTCATTAAACACTAGTGTTTATTGTTGTCCTCTTACAGGTTGAAAGACCAAAGCACATCAGATTATACAACATGCATAGCTGAAAACGTTCAAAAGCTCTTTAAAATTTGAACTATTAAATTCCATATACTAATAAGTAAAAAAGGAAGAACAAATTGAACAAGTAGCACCAGTGGTCTAGTGGTAGAATAGTACCCTGCCACGGTACAGACCCGGGTTCGATTCCCGGCTGGTGCAGTTGAGCTGTGAGGAAATTGGCTTTAGCGATGGTTGGGTCCTTCGCATTCTTCCGATTAATCGGATGTGATGGCCTCCTATCTGAGCTCTCTTTTTCCCTTTTACCTTTACCATATAAGTTTAATATTTTTTTGTTTTAAATATATATTTGAAAACAAAATCTTCACAAATCTGTTTTTAATATTTCATTCAAATTTTCTTAAGTAAATTAAGTAGTAAAAAAAAAGAATTTAAAAGTAAAAAGATGGAAGTTATATATTTTCCTTTTTGTACTTAATTATAAAACAAGAAATCATTTCATCTAAAATCTATATTCAATGTATAAACTTTTAATATTCTAAACAAACAGTTGATTTTATATTGAAATATAACAAATTTGAATATATGTATAACATCATGTACTATACGACAAATAAGTTGGGGAAATAGTATATAAATATTAAATCAGTTTCAATATTACAATCATAATTTTTAAATAAAATTTAACAATATTTTTCTTATAAAAAAATCATCAATAGATCAAATGCAGTTTTTTTCTATAAACAGTTGCGAACCAAAATCAACTACAATTTCCAAACAATCTTAAAAACACAACTCAACATAGACATTAGATTCAAAAGACACAATTATACATGTTTCTCATCTTCACTTTTTTTTTTGCGTTTCTCATCTTCATCTTAACTTATTATACAAATCAACTTAAATCTTAAAAACTCCACTTTTTTCGTTTATTTAGTAAATTCGTTGACTTACAAAAAAAAAAAAGAAGTTAGTTGAAGTGGGATTTTTACTGAAAGTAAATGAACAAACCCAATTGGACTTGCAATAATAATAACTATGACGAAACCCGCGCTACGCTGCGGGTATTCTTTTGAATTATATTTTTTTTGTATAAATATAAACTGTAATAATTAAATCATCTTGTATGAACTTAACTTTGTTAAGTGAAATGTACCTCTCTTGCGTCTTTTCCTAAAGGTTCGCTTTTCAGTTTCGTTTGTTCACTCCTAAATTCAAGATTTTGGGGGCATTACCCACTCTATTGAAGCGGTTTGAATATTTGAATGGTTGCGTACCCGTGCGTTGCAGGCTGTTATTACTCAACGGCTTTTGGTGGGCTTAGGAGCTTCGAGAATCCTAAGAACAAGATCACTGCAGTTCCTGCTAATGATGAAGAAATTTGGGGAGCCACCTTCATGGTGATTGATTCTTCAAAAACAATTTATATTTAGTATTTTCTGTTCACCAACATCTAAAAAGGCTTATAACACAAACTTTGGTGGTGGGAACAGGTGGAAGGAGCAACAGTTCTTGCAGATTGAGAATGAAAGAGAACAAAAAAGAAGAAGATCCTTGTCTCTTAAATAAACTGTAACAGCAAAAAAAAAATGATGTAGGAAAAACAAAAAGTTGTTCTGAGATCTTGAAGCTATCAATGGTTGGTGATGTGTGTAGTGTTGTATCTCTCTTATGTCTTATGCTTCTTTGTACTGCCCGTGTCTGTCTTCTCGTGTTATTAGTATCTTCTTCCTAATAAGTTAATGTTTGCGAAACCAAAACCTACCTTCTCTTGATCCTTTTGTCTCTGTTTCTATAGTAAAAATCTCACAATTCTCAATCTGTATAAATGGATCTGTATGAGTCGTAATCTTTATTTGGTAATCACAACATTCAGGTTTATTATTCAGAAAAAACAGTAGTGAGGGAAATAGACACAAAGGACATATACATGAACAACTTCTAAAATTTCACAGGCAATAAGATGTAGTAAAGGCAAGACAACTCTACTTCATATGTTCTGAGATTATGATTCAGGGCAGATATCCTCCAAACTGTTAAAAAAAAAAAGCCAATATCAAGACGAAATGTTTTTGTGGATTCTCTAATGCAACAGTTTCAGTAAGAAAGAAATCTATACCTCTCCCCTAAACATTCGATCATGTCGCTTGTGAGAGTTGATCTCTTATGTTTTGTAAAGGCCAGAGATGCAACCTTTCTCAGTAGGCCAGATGCTACTATGCATCCCAAGATAGCTGGATTCTCAGAGGGACTGAAATTTTTTTTGGTTTCAGAGATTGTCAAAACCACTTTGCTCAATCAATCATTGAGTTAGAAAATGACTGAGAAGAAAGTTTGCGCAGAGCCAATATAGGATGTATTTAACCTTTCAGGATCTGATTTAAGCTGTTGCGCCCATGACAAAAACACTGCAACACTAAATGAAACAAAATCCATGTAGGCAGACTATTAGTGTCTACAAAAGTTCAGACTTTTGAGATTGAAGAGATTTTTCGTATTGTTCAGCCTTTTCAAGGAAAGGCTTGTAACCACCTAAAGCACCGAATATTAACTGAATTTACATATCAATATGATTTTTATAACTTTGTTTCATAAAAACCATAGTATAAGATTAATCCTCACATAAAAGAAGGAGACTTGTGCATAAAATTTGAAACCAAAAACATATATGACTTTCAAATCTTCATTCTTGGAATCTGGCAAATATAAATTGTGTTAAATAGAAACAACAATTAGGCTGAACCAGAGCTTTTTTAATTACATATACCAATACTTACAAGTGCTAATACAGCTTCTTTGGCCGTGGACTGCATCTCATGATAAACCTGTACTAATTAATATGCAAGGACAATTACAAAACTTACAAATACATTCGAGGCAGTGAAAATTTAGGAGCTATAGGAATATGTATGACAAACCAGGTCGTGAAAACATGTCAAGGCAACTTCTCTGAGTGTTCAAATGCCTCTCTGAGAAACATAGCATCAGTCAATATAATTGAAGAACATGACTAACGATTTGACCAGAATTTTATGGTTATTCCACCTCCTAACAAGCTCTCTTAGCATATATTCATCATGCTTCTCTCTTAAAGGACGACAACACCTAAACCACACATAATAAATAAAAAAGAAAGAAGATTAAAATGTTTGCTTAAGTCGAAAAACAAAAAGAACATGTCTTCTTTGCACAATATCCAAAAATGAAGTCCAAACCAAAAACTTTGGTACTCACCGTTTGTATAGTATAATCTTCAATTACTTTACGATACTTATCATATAGCTGCTGTGAGTAATCGGAACTCTCGAAGCACATATTGTAAGTAGTCATGTGAATCACATAAGAAATCATTGTGCTAAGCACCCGTACACAACAATCAACAAACATAAAAACATTACATAAGTTCACAAACATTACATATATAAGGAGGCCTACGTGTAAAGATCTGTATATTGCTGACATTTGTTGCATTGTCCTCATTGGTGACAAAGGATCCAACAATCATGTCGTTAAGATTGAAACTGAGAATTGTTTACCAATTAATCAATAAATTTGTGACATTTCCACCAAAATTTACAAACAACAAAAAGAACATAGATAAAAGATAAGTCAAATTACAGTTGCGGATCTCAATTGGCTATACACCTCTATGATTAGACCTTAAATATTTTGAGCCTTTTATACTTTGTTTAATTCATTTGTGAACATAAACTAACAAATAAAAGATGATTCTTTTTCTCTAAATACTAAACTGAAACATAAGTCCAGCTAAGAAAGCTAAGTGACTACGGTTCTAGCACATTCCTCACATAGTAGTACTCTCATTCATGATTATGGACCGAATAAATTAGGATCTTTATAGTCGCCAATGAACAATGGATTTTGATATAGTGACACACAGAAAGACATGTGGAAAACAATCTAAAAAGCTCTCATAAAACGCACCTTCACGTCGAGGTCAAGTTGACTTTTTTCCTCGGCTAAATGCTCCAGGTCATCTTCTGCCTTTGTAAGGTCGTGTAACAAATTGGCTGCCTTAGCCTTCTCCTCCCTTACTGCATGGCATCTGGCCTGGAGGCATGCTATATCACGTTCCATGTAAATCTGGTCATCTCTAAGTTTCTCTAGCTCACCGTGCAATTTATCCCTGCTCAAGGGTACATAAGGTAGAAAATAATGGAAAAAATGTGTCTGCTAGACTAAGAAACGTCCAAGGAAGAGAAATATGTCTTACCCTGCATAAATTTCAGACTACTTGCTAGCTACTTTGGAGGCTACTTAATTCTGATTGAATTTCTTCCATAGTTTTAACCCCAAGACCCCTGAAATCGAGCTTATATTCAAGATCTTCAATTTGCTTTTTGTATGATACGATTTCCTGAAACATCCTGTCAGCATTTTCCAGGGTATGCACCAGTGCTTCAATTGAGTATTTGTCAGCTTTTATCTGGGCAGAGATTCCTAATACATGTAGACATACGCATATATGATTTCAGATGCTATGAACTGGAATTAAGATTTTCCAGCTTGTGTGCATGACAACATGATTAAGAGGAAACAGATAAAACAGAAAACAACAAGACTTCTAAAGAAACTGATATAATTTACGGCTGCAAATCAGTTATATCCAAGGACTACACACCTCTATGGTTAGACCTTAAATATTTTGAGCCTCTTCTTCTCTGTTGATTTCATTTGTAAACCTGAACTAACAAATGAAAGATGATTCTTTTTCTCTAAATACTTTAATGAAACATAAGTCCAGGTAAGAAAGCTAAGTGACTACGTTTCACCTCATCCCTCAATTGAAATTAACCCCACATCCACAAACAGTTACAATCATAAAAATTGGAATTTTTTATCCATAAGAAGTAACACAATTCGACAAGATCTCTCTATGAATTTGAAATCCTCCAATGTTATGAGATGATCAGATATGAACCTGATGAATTGGCGGGTACATTGATTTGATGTAGGTTGGGCATTT